TCTTCTATAAACGCGTGCAGAGCAAAAGCTCTCTCTACTCTTCGCTGGTCTACATAAGTGATACTCATAGAAAGATTTAAATCACCAATGGGCACTGCCTTGCCCGCAGGCAAAGCTCTTTTAAGCTTGCTATACCAGCGATGGACAGAGAGAGCTTCTACTCTGCACGCACCTATACAATATGTATAGAACGGTGACGGGCATAGCATTGCCCGCGGGCAAAGCTCTTTTAAGCTTTCTATACATTTTGTATAGTCGCGTGCACAGTAAAAACTCTCTCTGCCCATCGCTGGTATAGCAAGCTTAAAAGAGCTTTGCCTGCGGGCAAGGCAGTGCCCATTGGCGATTTAAATCTTTCTATGAGTATCACTTATGTAGACCAGCGAAGGATATAGAGAGCTTTTGCTCTGCACGCGTTTATAGAAAAGGTACAGAAATCTCTGCCCGCGAGCAAGCGACCGTTTTTGTTTTATGAGAAAATGAGAGATTTTGATGAAAGAGAAAATTTAATTGAAGTTTCTAGTTTCGAAGGTTGCGAATCAAAATATGGCGGTACCAAAAAAAACTCTATTTTTTGTTAGAAAATAAACCTGGTTCAGTCGATCACTCTTGAAGGGAGAGTTCTTTAATACTCCGATGTAGAAAAACATTTAGGAATTCCGTAATTAAAAAAAAAAATAGTTGCAATTAGCCGTAAGAGTCAAGTTTCTCCTAGAATGGACTCTTGCTCATATACATATATGTATACATATATTTATTTCGAGGTAAAGTTTCGCAGGAAAGTTTCGGTAATTTTTCCATAAAATACGTAAATATGTATTCAGTAAAAAAATAAATGAGTCGCATGTTAATTTCTTAAGTGTACATTTTTTTCAATTTTGCTTGGCATTATTTTCAAAAGAAAAAAATAAATTAACTTCATTATTTTCTTTGTAAAAATTCTTAAAAAATAAATTTTTCTCCAGAATTAAAATTTGTATTATAAAAAGTAATTTCCTTTTAAATTTTCAATTCCCCAGAAATAACTTTTCTTTAATTAATAGTTTTTTTACTGCACAAATATTTTTCCCCGAGAAAATTTTGTTTCTAAAGTTTGGTATTTTTTTTTAATTGGGTAAACATATTTTCCCCCAGTAAGGCAGTTTTTGCCTAAATTATGTTGTTTCGTAACAACATTTTTTTCTTAAAAAATTCTTCAAAAACTGTTTTGTCTAAAGCATTAGAATTATATAAAAAAAACTTCTGATTTTATAAATTTTTTAAATTTTTGTAAAAATATTTATTTTAAAAATTTCTTTACCAAATTAAATACAAAATTAATATGAGGCACACTATAAAAATCGGAAATATGTATAAAACTATTATAATTGTACACGATTTCCTTATGAAAAAGTGGCATAACTTTTTGGGAAATATGTCCTCCTTGATCCTTAAAAAGGGTTAATGGCAAACAATTTTATATTAGTTAAATTTTGTATGTTCAAAAATACGCAGTTAATGCACTTAGAGGTATATTCTCTGTCCAAATCATGACGAACGGTACCCCAATATTTATAATTTCCAGTTTAATAGATTTCTTTGAAATTTAATTATATTTTTATAAAAATACTTACAGTTAATTCAATAGCATAAATCATATCACACAACAATTCAAGCATTGTGAAAAATTCGCGAAAATTCAACAAACTCAAAAAAAAATCCATCAAAATTAAACATTTTTTCAGTATTTTCAGAAACCTTACAAACACCGTAATTTTAACCTTTTTTTCTAATAAATGTTCATCTAAAATTTTCCGAGCAAACGAATTCAAAATAACGCTGCTATTTTTTTTGACTGCAGCTGTATCATCGCACAGATATCAACTATGTACTACCTTTGAGGCTTCTTTGCGTACGTACTTACTCGTAGGTATGTACATGCATGCATTCGCAGTGATAACTAAGTAAATGACAGTATGCATGTCAGTGGCAAGTGTGTGCTGTGTGGTAAAACGGCAGAAAAATGGGCGATACGCAGCAACTGATGCTGATCGTTTTCTTATTACCTCACTTACTTTACGATTTATTTTATTTTATCTCATTTTTGCACTTTGTTGGCTTCCCCGTCTCTCCTGTTTCTTCTCGTTGTTGCTTGCACTTTTCTGCTGTGCTGGCAGCAGTTGCATGCTACATACATATGAATAAATGTCCATACGTGCGACACACAGGCATGCTCACTTATTGCCATACCACTCTTGGTAGTCGTAGCACAAATGCATGTTTCTGTCGTCCGAGCCCATTCAACTCGTACTACACGACGCGGCATATGCACGCTCATATTTCTTATGCATGCGCCCGGCTTTGCGGCAACCAAGTAAATCGAAAAGCAGAGAAAGAGAAAAAAAAAACGAAACCGAAAATACAATTGAAAAAATTGAATCAAGCGAGCGAGTTGTGAAAACGTGGCTAAAAGGATGTCTGCTTGGTAGCAGCGCCTTCGCCGCCTGTTCACTTTTGCGTGGCGGCGGCATGGCAACAGACGCGGCGCGGCGCGCCGCTTGCACTGGCCGCCTTGCTGATGCAGCAGTGCAGGAGTCCTGCTGCTAGTTGCCGCCGGTTGCCGGTTGTTGGTTGGTGACTGGCTCCTCTATGCTGTGCACACAATCGTTGCTACTGCCACAGCAGCATTTATTCAAAATGCTTCTTGGTTTGTGCCACCAGGCCACAGCTGATTGCAACGCATAGATTACGCGTACATATTTTTTATTTTTATTTTTTTCGGTTGCATAACAAATTTGTTGTTCCACCCGAAATTATTATAATGAGCACGCAAACATTCTTTTTCGCCAACTTTTTGCTTTTTTCTTTTGTTTCACTCTCCCTCTTCTTCGCATCATTGTAATGCGAATCAGTGTCATGTGATCCTGCGAAGCCAAAGCACTCGGCGGTCATAAGCCCGAGGGGAATGACTTTTATAAAAAGTTGCAGTTGAAATGAACGTTGTTTGCACTAGTTACACATAAAAATGTGTTATGAGCTAAGTTTTGGGATGGTCATATCTCAAGGATGATTTTTTAATAAGCGCTGAGGGGGGCAGGATAAATGAAAATTTAAATTTATGTTGGCTTGAATGAAATTCTATGGCTCCGGATTTTTCCAAATGTTTCAGTGGAAAGAATGTCTGGCACTGTAAAGATTTTGTTGGAAGTTCGATACAATTTTTCAACCGATTAGATATTTTTTTAAATGAAAGATATTTTTTCAAATGAAAGATAATTAATAAAATTTAGAAGACACCCGCAGAGATCGATTTTTAATTAAATTTTTTTTATATTCAGTTGTTTAGTGCATAGTGCATAGAAAATAGCAATTTTCCAGAAAATCGATTCCCCAGTTCCTGTTTATAATTATAACATAATAAAAACTAGCTGAAAAGAATTATTGGATTACCTCAAAATGCAAGAAAATTGCACAAGAAAAATTATAAATGCTATAAAAAAATTTCATCAAAAGTCGAAAGGGTTTTTGATGGTTTAGAAAAATTCGCGTTGATTTTAAATATTTTTTTTCTGACGCTTTAAGTGTACCCCGAAATGTCAGCAACGAAAAAATTTTTAAAAATCAACGCGAATTGTTATGCACTTTAGACTTGCTTTGTATTGCACTAAAATTTAATGGACTGGAAAATTGCATACCCTCAATTTTTCTAAAAATTCTGAAAGAAAAATTTTAAAAGTTGATGCATTTTTTTTTTATTTAAACTTTCACTTTTGCAATTTTATTAGTTTTTAATATGTAAAAATTATAAACAAGAACAGGAGAATAGATTTTCTTCGGAATTATTGCTTTCTCTTCACTTTGCATTAAAAAATTTTATATATACAAATAAAAATAAAAAATCGCGACGAACAGGTCTACTAAATTTTATTAGCTTTCGTTAAAAAAATTTAATCAAATCTAGTGAAAAATTAACGCTCCAGACTGTTTTGAACATTAAATTCCAGTTTTGGACCACCGTGCGCCGGTGCTTGGCCAATAATGCGTCGGTCCTAAGTTTCCACATTGGAAGTAACAGCTAAAAGTTCAATTGAAAATACTTTTATATAATGAAAAGATTTTCGACTTGAGTAAATAATTAAATTTATTTAAAATCGATTTGTTAGCAAATATAGCAAATTCTACTTTACCTATTTTGGGACCTTAGATCTGCAACTTCAAACTGATACGAAAAAAATGGTAACCAAATTTTCCAAATCCTTTGGTACCTATTTGTTCATACATACATATGTAGTGCACTTCATGAAAAATTTGCTTTCTCGCTTCCATGCCAATTTTTATTGCATGCTTTTTGCATACTTTGATGGGAGTTATTTTAAGTTAAACATTTATTGCATGCAATTTTGCGGTGACAACGCGCCAGCTTCCTTTATAGCATGCCTGGTTTGTGTCTCTAATAACTATGCAAAAACATAGAACGGAACTGGAGACATGTATAACACATTATTGGTATGGTTTTGTTCGTGGGTAAGTGCTTCTCTTACTTTGCTTCTGTGGCGCGCTATTATCTGCCAGATGGCGCTTTAAGCACATTGACTTATTTTATCTGCAATAAAAAAGGAAACGCCAAATTATGGCATATTGAGCAAATTATTTTTTTGAAGACTTTGTAGAAATTGTGTGCCGGGAGATTTTGTTTTGCAGAGCGGAAGTGCGCTGAAGGATTTACTTTTGTAGCATAACTGTAGAAAATGGTTGCAAAAGTAGAAAAGAAATTTCCAATAAAAATAGTTACGTAAGGATTTTATTTGCCAAGGATTAGAAACCTGGTTAATTAAGTAGGGTGATAAGCTTTATAGTAGCTTTAAAGTTGTCGAGTCCTTGAAATTCGTTATAAGTTGTTTGACTATGATGCCTCACCAGCTGCTTATTGAAAATTCCATATTTTCAAAAGTTTTACTAATTAAAAAAAACTTCCATATAGATAAAATATATTTTATTGCTAAATATTTAAAAATTTGTGTTAACATTTTAATTAAGTAAAATAATTAAAAAGTAGTATTTATTGCATAAAATACATAAATCGTTACTTGGTATTTGTGTTAGCAATAAAGCACAGAATAAACGGTGTAAGACACAATTTCGCATGATAGAAATTTGTCGAGCCTAAACTCTTTGCTACATAAAAATATAAATTCCAAAATTTAAGTTCAAAATTTTTTATGCAGTTGAGTACAAATATAAATTGAAATTTTTTTTTGTGTATTTTTTCACTCCATAATGGAAATAATTATAAACTAGGTAAATAAATTTGGGTTTATTTAGGCTGCTTTATATCTTAAAAATTTAGTTTTTGCATTTCTAACAAATGGGGAAGATTTCGTTGTAAGCGGGGATTGTCGTTTTTCTTTGCGCTTTTGCTAAGCAAGCACATTTTTTTTTTTATTATAAGTACATATGTTTGTATATATTTTTGTATATTTTTCTTAAAAATTAAATTAAAAAAATAATGCCTCACTTTTATTTCGGATTATTGTGAGCTGCCCTCTCTCGTTTTCGTTGTCGTTTTTGTTTTCGCTTTGTGTGACCAGTTTGTAGTATCGTATGTAGCCGCAGAGTTACCTTGGTGAACCGTTATTGTACATATTATGCTCATTGTGCTCATTTGCTCTTGAAAATTTTTCTGTTTAAACAACTTTAGAATAAACAGTTCATTGCTTCAAAAAAACAAAAAAAAAACAAAATTGGAACCAAATAATTGCATATGTAGATACTAAGTAGTACATATGTGAGCACTTTATTGTCAGAGCAACACACAATTGCTATCCTGTCGACAGCGACGTCGCAAACAACTGCGCGAACCCATTTCATACATAAAATCGGGATTGCTTATGTAATGCTGATTCAGTAACTGACTGCCCAGCATTGGCGATAGACGTAATTGTTGTTGGGAGCGATGATATTGTTGCGGTGATGCCGGTAATGTATTATGTTGCATTTGTTGTAATGATGCTTGTGGATGTTGGTGTTGGTTTTGTTGCTGATGTTGATGTTGATGTTGGGAATGTTGGGTTAATTGACTGAGGGCAGGGCTGGGCAGTATAATTGTGCTAATACTACTCTGGCCTCATATACCTTGCAAGTAACGGCGTAATTCTTCTTCAGTGTCGAATATCATAACTGGGAATGGTGAGCCTGGCACAAATTCACCAGCCCATTTAACCTCGACGCGGTAATCGCCTGGTTCTGTGGGATCATACTGGAAAGAGGAGAGGTAACAAATTAATTTATAAAGTTGAGTTGAGATTCTGTTTACCTTGCACAAAATGGTGCGATCCTTTTGACTCTCACGCTGCATTTCCACGCGGAAGGCACCCTTGGGACCACGTACACGCACTGTTAGCTGGCCAGCGCCAGCGCCGCGCGTATCGCAGATGAAACGAGATTGGAAGGTGGCCAGCACGCCATGCTCAATGCCGGGGCCGTAGACGCGAACCTGTGGACGGAGGAGAGTTGTAAAAACATGTTACTGGGAAAGTTGATTTTTTTTTTGTTGGTTTCAGTGGTTCATCAGATCCGAAGTTATATGCGCTCTTCTTTGTTTTTGTGGCACAGAGCTCCTCTTGTTCTCAGCCTAGCAAGTTTGTCACGCAACCCTTTTCCTAATGCGGCCTTGTGGCTAAGTACCCAAGTGTAGGTTAAGTTATCGTGATTGCCCCGATCTAGCATCGAAAGGAGAAATATTTAGCCCGCCTACTTTGAAACTCTCATAGAACCTCTTTGTATTCTTACTTTCCCTAGAAGTGAACCAATTCTTCGTTCTGATGAAGGTTACAAAGTCGTATCTGCTAGATGTGATAAGTCCAATCAGATATTCAAGAAACTAGTAACGGAACGAATGTCGGTGTGTCCTCGCCAATTTGCTCCGCATTTAGATAATTTTCTACACTTTCGATTTATTCTACATTATGGTAACTCCGACAGAAGCTACTCGACTGTGCACTATTGCTGTTGACATGCATTCACATCAATTAGTGACCTCTAATAACCCCGAATAAAAAGTGGACTAGATATTCATCTATCTAGTTTAGGCCAGATAGATATGTTATGTTATCCTACGAATTAGCTGAACAGATCATATTATCTTAATCCGTTCGATAAAGTTGTCTTCCAACCATAATCTGCTGAGATCGTTGAGCGCTGAATTGATCGCTGACAATGACGTTTCTTTCCATATATCTTCCAGATTTTCCTTTGTGGCCTGGAACATGTACTCGAAGTCTGGCTTTCATCATTTAGAGTATATCTACGCTTCATGACCATCCTTAATGGAGATTTGCACACATTCCAGTGCTTTAATAGCTTTCTGACTGACAGAGAAGATGGTTACCACAGGGATGTAGATCAAAAGAGGAATCTGTAAGTCACCTCGTAACTTCCTTGATTGCTGTAAGCTTGAAAACCCGCCCAGAAGTTCGGCAAACCGAAAACGAAAGTTGGATAAGAGCTCAAGTCAATATATCCAACTTCCTACCTGGAGGTCTAACTTAGAGCCATCTGAGTAAAGGGTAAATGGTTGCAGAATCAGGATACAGTCTCAAGACTTTTGTGCAAATAATTCCTGAGAGCAAAAAAGGGACGTATTACAACTGGAAAGGCGAAAGTCCACAAAAAAAGTCCTTCTCTGAAAAAGCGGTCATACCGGCCGATATCTCTCCTTCCCACATACATAAGTGAGTTTTCGAACCCAAACGCAAGAAGAAATGGATAAGGAGTTCTGAGTTCCTGCTTCGATTCCCGCTCGGTCCAGGTTAGGAAAGCCAATATTTCCGGCTCCCGAAATCATATTAATGGCGAATAAGTTACTCGGACTAAGTAACTTAACTGGAAGCCTTAAGAGTGCTACTTCTCTATTAGATAAGACGCAAATCTCCAAGATGGTTTTTTAATAGCGGCTGCTAGGAATACCCTAAAGTAATCCTGAGAAAAATTGATAGAATTTCTAATTCTCCTCTATTCTCCTTAGATCTAAATTTTTCTAAGCGACTACGCAAAAATTACTATGTCCTTTACAATCAGATAAAGCTGTGTGCTCACCTTGCTAGCGTCAGGTGCTCCGGCGACCTTTAGAGCAAACGGCGAGCCTGGCACATTTTGACCGCCATATTTGATCGTCAGCAAATGTCTACCGGGCTCCTGCGGCTTGATGTTCAGCGTAAACGTAGCATCACCATGATCATACAATTCGCAATAGGCCACTTTACGTGGACCTGCGCAATGAGCGGTCAATTCGCCGGGACCGGCACGTCGTGTATCAATCCAAGACTTAATGTCTTTACCAACAATGCCATGACGTAGACCCTCTCCTGAGCAAATTACTTTCGAGGCATCCATCGACGAACCGACAGCAACTGTGAGCGGGCAGCCTTTAACTAGACGACCATTCCATTTCACGGATAATGTTAGCGGTCCCGAGGAGGACTTTTGCGGTGTATACGAGGCCAGCCAGATATTTTCTGTTGGTCGCGGTTGAGCCAAACTCACCGGCACGGAAGTGTTGTCTTGATGCACCAATATGACTTCCGGGCGCCCAGCGGGCGCATTTGTGGCATCGATAGTGAAATGTGCCGCCTCGCCTGCTTGTGCGGCAGCCAGACCACGTCCCGTAAGCACCACCTTATCGGCCGCTTGTTGACCGGTCACAAAAGCACTGCGCGGACATTGCACAATGGTTAGGCCACTCCAAGTGAGATCTAAATCATGCTCGCCTGGTGCCAGATTGTCAGCGGTAATATAGATACGCATTTTTCCATCATTTAATTTGTCGACAGGAATTTCAATGCCATCAATTGAGCAGGCCAACTCGCCGGGGCCAGCATTCTCGACATCGAAAACTATACGAGCCGGCAAGATGAGACGGCCGTCGTGATCGAGTAGTGTACCCCAGCCGCCCACAGGTGTGATCTTTGATGTTTCCACACAGGAAACACTCCATGGAGAGCCCGGTAAATTGCCACGATTTGGGCAGCTAGCGCGTATTTCGTAATGACCCACGGACAGAATAGTGTATGAAATGCGCCATTCGTTGTTGCCCAGAGCCTGTAAGGGAGGAAAAAAAAACTTTAAACCATAATTCAGGGTACCAAAGCACCAAATTCTCACCTTAATTTTCGGTTCAATTCGTTCGCCAAACTCGTCCACCCGTTCGATTTGCACATTTGGCGCAATCGGACAGTAGACAATGAAAGAGGCTTCTTTGTTGCGCTGGCAAACTTCGAGTCCATTGCCGGCAGCGCGTGTATCTGTTTTCACGCCTGTCGCCGAGGCGGTGAAGGTGAATGGCGAACCCTGTACTGTCTCGCCGCCAAACATGATAGTCAGTTTGTAAGCACCTGGTTGTGATGGCACGAATTCAACGCTGTAGATGCCTTCGGACTGTTCAGTGATGTGAACGGGCAGATTTTGATTGGTTGGAGAGACGGCAAATGCCTCTAGTTCAGCAATACCGGCATTCTCGGTGCGCACTGATGGAGAGAGAGGAAGCAGGGTTGGAAATAAACCGAATTAAAGTTAAGGGCGGTTCACCAACCTGAGAAACAGATGGGGCTATGCAACGCTAACTGGCCCTTGGGCACACCTTGAACCACAACACGACTGGTGTCAAAGGCCTCGCAGGTGAATGGACTGCCTGGTAGTGGCTTCGATTGGTGGAGAACCTCTGCAAAATATAACATTTACAAGTGAGTTTGAAATATAACTCGAAAACCAACTTACCAATTATGCTTTGTCCTGGCTTGTTGATTGTGAATTCAGCTTGCAGATGACCGCTCTTGGTTTGATAACAGCGCACAGGTAGTGCTTGTCCACCTGGCCCAGAAACGACTACGTCGAATTCGCGGGCTGGTCGCTTCAGCGTATCAATGGCAAATGACGTAGTCTTGCCAACACGCGACTGATACAAACCCAATCCAGATACACTAATCTCCTTGCCAACGTTCGCTGGCAGCACATTGATCTCAAGCGGTTTCAACGAGATCGGCACTTCATTAAACAGTATAGTTATCTTGTGTGGAGCTACACGCGTTGGGTGATAGACAATCTCATAAATGCCGTTCTTGGACGGACCGCGTATGGAATGTGGCACTTCGGAAGCACCACACTTGACCATTGCCGATAGTTCGCCTTGTCCAGCTTCATTGAGCGACACTGAAATGCTGGCTGGTCGCTGGAAAACTGATTCACCCACTTCCGTGATCTTCACCAGCGCTGGATCGAAAACGGTCAGTGTGCGCGTGCCTATGTGTTGACGTGTGTCGCGATCAATAAAACGTATCAAGTAATTGCCGGTCATGTGTGTACGGAACTCGGCTGTCTGCCTTGTGATGGTATATGGTACTGGCTTGTGATCGGGTCCCACAATTTCGGCGATTTGATCATCTGTTGGAAAGTCGATGGTCGCTAAGCTGCCAATCTGTATGTGTTGGGTAGTTTGTTGTATATCTACGCGGAAGGGACTGCCGTCGACGGGCACTTCATTGAATGTGATATTCACATAGTGTGGTTCTGTGGTCTGCGGCACGAAGGTGACGTCATAGAGGCCACGCGCGCATGCAACAACCTCCGCCTTTACAGTGCTCGTGTCTGTGGAGACAACTAACTCAAGGGTGCCTTCGCCCGCACCAGCGGCATCTACGCTGAAAGTTACAGGCACACCCAATGCAGCTGGCCCATATTGCTGATCCAAGCCGCTGATGCTTACGCGTGAAACATCGAAGACATTGCACGAAAACGGCGAACCATTAATGTGCTTATCATTGGCTGTTACGCTTATCAAGTGTCGGCCCACTACTGTGGGTTGGAATGCAGCTGTATAGGCGTCGCCTCCTTGTGGGGTTAACTGGCAAATAATATTGTCGCCGGATGGCGTGGTAACAAACACTTGCGGCTCAATGCCTTCGAAGCCCTCTAGCTCGAATATATTATCTACTTTTATAGCTGCCTGTTTCAGACCTTCGCCGCTGGCTAAAGCGCGTGGCAAACTCATCGGGGCAGAAGCAATCTGACAAGTGAATGGTGAACCAGGCACGGGATGACCGTTGAAGCGCACCGAAAGCGAGTGTGGTGCTGCCTCCGTGGGTTTGAAATTAACTTTGAAGCGCGCATTACCTTCGGATTGTACATAGTTCGGCACGTTTTTGCCATTAACGGCCACTATAATTTCCAAGTTGCCCGCACCAGCTTGACTGGCATTAATACCAAAACTGACGCTCTTGCCTACCACACCGGGACGTATGTCGGTAACAATAACCTTCTCGGCCGAATAGGCTTTGAGCAAGAAGGGACTACCCTCTACGTGGCTGCCACCAGGCAGGCGCACTTCCACCGAGTGATCGCCCACTTCGACAGGCTCGAATTTGATATTATAACCAATGCTATCCAATGGATCGATATTGACAGGCACGCTACGCCTGGCCGGCCCAAGTACCTCGACAATGGGTTCCGCGTCTGATTCCACGGCAAACTCAAACAGCCGTCCAACGCTAACCTTATCCAAGGTTTCTGGCGATTGTATACGCGCAGCGGCCGAGACGCGACAAGTAAACGGCGAGCCGGGTACATCTTGTCCGTTGAAACGCAATTCGACTGTGTGATTTTGTGCATCACGCGGCGTAAAACTAATGGCGTAGGTGTGTTGTCCTTGCGCTTGCGCCGAAGTCGGTACACGTCCGCCATTCACGGTGACCTCAAGATTGCCAGGGCCAGCTTGGGACGTCTCTACAAGAAAGGTGACTGGCTTGCCGACTGTGCCATTGCTGACATTCTTCACTTTGATGGCATTCACGTCGTAGACCTAGAGGGATGGTGGGTGGGGGAAAATTGGAAGTAGCGGTTAAGATGAGAGTGACTTTAATTCAATGACCGTAGGCCAAAACAATCCAGTTGTGTTTTTGGTACCATAGAAGTAGATATGGTCTGAATTAAATTCATAGTAGAATTTCAATTATTCGAACTGAATTATTTTGGTCTTTGGTCTTAGCATTTTTCGTATATTAAGCGATACAATTGTGCGGTCCTACCTTAGCTGCATAGGGGCTACCCGCGGTGGACAAACCGTTGACGGTGACATTCACACGATGTTCGCCGACTACGCGTGGCACGAACTCAGCCTTGAAAATGCCCTCCGAGGTTTGGTGGACCTGTGCAGGCACTGACTGGCCGGCAGGTCCTGATGTGCAGGTCAGGATACATTGTTTTTATAGTTGTTGAATGGGGTTTTTTGTTGAGTTTTTATTTTTTATTAAAAGTTTTTTTTTGGGTTTTGGTTTTTATTTTATTTTTATATTTTAATTGGTTGCATTTTTTGATATTTTTTTGTTTTTGTATGATTGTTTTTCAAAGCGTTGCGTTGCGCGCGTATAAAGTTAACGTCGTAAAAATTTGGTTTTTGTTGAAATTTGCAAAATACGGGTAAATTATATTTTGTTTAGCAAAAGCATACGTTTGTTTTAGTTGTGGATTTGCAGAGTTAGTTGGGAGCATTTTTGTTGATTATTATTTTATTATGGGATTTAGCATGTGAGTGTTTTGTTTAAAAATGAATAAATGAGAAAAAATTTTGGAAAAAGCTTGATTAGTTTTATAAAAAAAAAAAAATAATTGTAAATATGAAAATGGACTTCGGTGTTAACTTAAAGCTATTTTCAGCCAAATTATTTTAATTTAAAGTAAGTTAGGATTTGTACAAGCGTGTTTAGGAGAACTTATAGATTTAGTTAGTAAGTTATCGGCAAGCTAGAGTTAAGAAAAAGTCATTTGTTTTTTTTACGGATTTAAATAAGAATGTTAATAAAATTTTACAACTAAATAGTTGAATTATTTACAAATATAAAAATTATGAAACGCATATTAAGAAATATTTTGCAATTTTTAAAATATTTGATTATGCTCTAATTGGGCTATTTAGGTTGTAATTCGATTTTACAAATAGCAATAAATTTAACTAAAATTCGAAAAAGACCTCACCTAGTTTTCCAAATTTTCTCTACCATTCAGTATTATTTTCTTCTACAGTTTTACCCTAGACTTTCTATTCCATTATTTATATACACAAGTAGCCTTACCGTTTGCCGGATTCATAAGGATACATTTTAAAATTTTCCGGTTTTCGATTTTTAACTATTAAGTGCGTGCTTTCTTCGCCAGACAGGCATATTCTGGTAGTGACAGGATTCACTCTGGATAAATAGAAGTTTATAAACATCTTCTGAGTATGGAGCTACAGTTTTGATCGACTATACTCAATTATGCGCTACGCACTCGATTTAAGGGTCCACTGAAATAAAAGCATTGAACTAAAACCACAGTTTTTGTTATAACCTTCCTTTTATTAACTCGGGATGTAACTATGTAATATTGATGCGCCTAAAAGATGCAGCGATTTCTATTCTCAAGTTACATACCTGATGACAGTACGAATGGCAATTATAATAGGGAGGTTTAGTTTTTTTTAAACAATAATTTTTATTATCCACAGTGTTTGTTACTTTTGCTTGGAAAATGTGACTTCTAAAACCTGGCTTAAATATATTTTCAAAACGAATGCCTTATCTAAAATCAGCGGTGTTTTAGAGGTCTGCCAACGGTTGGGAAAGTTGCCAATACTGTATGTGGTTAAGGTAAAGTAAAGTCTAAATTTTAACGCTCTCACCCCCGAGGATTGTTCTATACCCTGTTTTTCATTTTGAAAATTAACAAATATTCAGAGAAAAAAAATTTTAGAAATGGTATAAAATTCTTAAAAATAAAATTTTTTCGATAGGTAAACTCTGCTTCCCTTCAGGAAACTTCATATAATAATACCCATTTGTTTATTTAACCATTTGTTAAGACTAACTATTTTTATGGGAGACCCACAAAAAAAGTTGGTATTAAAAAATTCTAAAATAAATAATTGCGTATTATTATTGAAAGCTTCCTGAAGAGAAACAAAGTTTTCCGATTGTAAAATATTTCAATAATTCTACTACATTTCTATGAAAAATTGTTTTTTCTCCATATAAAATATGTACATGGAATATTTTGAGCGACCTCTAAATATTTTTTAATTTTGAAACAAAGAAGGGGTACCTTTTTTCGGTATAGAACATCCTAGGGTGTGCGAGCATTCGAAATCGGACTTCACTTTTTTCCATATGCATTTTGGACCACCCTAATGTACATAGAAAATCCATGTTTACATGGAAGAAAATGCGCAACACCCTCGACAAAAAAAAATTCTCAAAAATCAACGGTAATCTTTAGAGACTTGAAACCTTCACCTTATTAGTATTAAAATTTAATGGGCTACAAAACTGCGTACTAAACATTTTTCTAAGAAATCGAATTGAGAAGGGAAAAATTTTGATGAAGTTCTATGTGAAATTTAAAAAAAAATATTCTGCTGGTTTTTGCTGTTGAAAGAACTATATTTTTTTTTATAAAAAACTAAGAAAAATTCGGTACGGAAAACATAAACAAGTAAAATCGTCAAAACGTCAGGGTATTCATATTTTTGACGTTGACTGTATGTGTGTGTTTATCTGAAGCTGGGTGCTGCTAATGATTTTCTTTGTCATTCTGGGAGTCTGGGTATTTCAAACTACCTCATTGTGTTAAGTTTGAGTTATTTTTGGAAATCTCTGGATGCTCGTGTTAATTTATGCTGTAGAATAGGCCTACCAAGAGTAAATCCATCCGAATATATTTTTCCGAAAAAGGTATAAAGGAATTGTAAAAAGTAAAGACATCACCGCCTACTCAAATATCTCCCGCAATACTTTGATAGAGCCTTTTCTCTTACCACTTCTGAGAGAATGATTGATTTAAAATGTGTAACTCAAATAGTTTTTTTTTTTTTTATTTGTGAGTATGTTTTTATTTGCAAATAATTTTTCCCTTAATGGATAACATTAATAAAGTCGTTTATTCAATACGTTATACTAGTAAAAAATGAAAGTACAGAAATTTGTATTAGATAGTGCGTATATATAGTAAACTGTTCGAATATAGTAAACTGTATTTAGGCTATTGAAATTTAGTTGTGTAATAAAAATTGATAAAAAAACAAGGAAATAAAAAGTAAGAATTTCGTTCGGGACAGTAGAAAAAAAGGCATAGACGTGTTAGTGAAAGACTAAATACAAAAAAAAATTATTATTTTCCAATATGCAATACTAAGTATTAAAAGATTTAAATTTGTATAATTTATAGTGCAATTAGAGAAAATTAATAAATAGAGAGTTCAAGTGTTGTAGAGTGCAACTAAGTGGAGCCTGTTTGTGCGAAATTGTTTCATATACATTTCGATACATTCACACACATTTGCATGTTGTATATATGTATGTATAAATGGTGCACTTAGTAGGTACATATGTATAGTGTAACTTCATATATGTAAGTGTGATATGTAGTAAATATATGTATTTATGTAGTAAGGAGAAAGAGTGTCTAGTACAATAGTTTTCGCCGCCCTGAAATATAATACAGATCAAAAGTGAGAATCGAAAAATTGGTAATATTTAAATAATAACAAAAAAAAATCAGAATTATTAAAATAAATAAACATAAAATATATATAATTTTGCATAAATAAGTGTGAACACTGAGCATAGAAATCTCAATTGGTGTATTTGAACATATACAAACATACAAACATTAGTACATATATACAAACAAAAAGGGGCCGACATTGAATAATAATGTATAGTACGTGTATTGGGTACTTAAGCACGTCTCTTTCGATTGGCCTAAGCAATTTTTTGAATTTGTTTAAACTGATTAATATTTGGACAAAGATAGAAATGTAATATCCCCTAGTTAGAGAAATACTGCTGGCGCTTTACTTATTATTCAAAAGCGCCACAAACAGCTAACGGTGGCTGAAGACTGCTCAGGTAGTTCACTCGACGCCACCGACTTTTTAGCTGCTAACTGTAACCAACTCATTCAGTATAAACTAGCAGCGTTTTTCTGCTAGAGATGTCGAATGGAAACCGAATGTATTTGTGTAATTGTTTACTTTCAATTCGATATATGAAACGATTCCAATAAATTAAGGTAAATTTAAATGACATAACATAAAATGTGAAATCTTTTGTATTGCATTTATTTTCTTTGCATCGAATCAACGCAAAAATTGTTTTTGGTCTGGTTGTAATAAACCACTAACTGCAAAATATCTAAGCTCTGTTGTGTCGAAATTTAAAAATTTTCACAAAGAAATGTTGGCTTGTTAAAAGTAGAAGATTTTCCTTGAATCGGATCGTTAGACTAGATATAATGACATGCAGGCTTATATTGATAGATCCTCGAACCCTGGCTATGTGCCGGTGAAGTTTATAGCAAAGCCATTTATGAATTATTATGAGAAATTTAAATAACTGAACTTAATTTCACAACATGCGAGTTAAAGTTTGAGCGTTTATTTTTAAGGAAAAAATTTAATAGTAGAAAGGAAACTGAAGAATATGTTTTTTTTTTGTAGTTTTTTGCTCCTGTCATGCCTGCCTAATGCATAATATGTATACATACTTTTAGTCCGTAGAAAAATACCAGAGGTTTGCAGTAGATAACGAGTTTAAAATTTTTTGAATGATATTTGTCTAGTAACCCCGGCTATGTCAGCCTTTAGTGCATATAAATCCCCTGGTCCAGATGGCATTTACGCATGCCTGCTGCAGCAGAGAGAGGGAGAGAGAGAGAAAGGAATAACTTTCTCAGGAATAAGCCTCTATGTCAGAGTCAACACGCATATCGGGCAGGCAAATCTACTATTACTGCAATACATAGCCTAACTCAAGTTATTGAAAAGGCATTGCGGTATAAACAGATAGCTTTGTGTGCATTCCTCGACATATCAGGTGCTTTCGACAATACGTCTTATGAAGCAATATCGACAGCTATGATGCGAAAGGATATTCCTGGCCTTCTAACGGACTGGATCATAAGCATGTTTAAATCCAGAACTATAATAGACGAACTCCTCGAACAGCTAAATGGCAATGGATTCACGGCATATGGATATGCAGATGACCTAGGCATGAGGACACAATTTGTTCCAGATTGCAATCTGCGCTCAGATTAACGGAAGACTGGTGTGTTTCAAAGGGATTGTCAATAAACCCGCAGAAGTCCACCGTTGTCCCAT